CAGTTCCAAGTGACTTCAGTGAAATGGCTTTTTTTGTGTATCTGAATTTCCAAAGATAAGAGAGTCGAGGTATCGCTGGAGTCAGGGACCCACAATCACCCCAGGAATCTGGCCCTCTCCTACCTTGGTCTCCCATCTCCTGCACTTGGCCTCCCTCAAATGTATCTTTGTGATCAAAGGGTTCGTCTATTTTGACGGGCTGCTTTGGGGTCCTGCAGTCTCCGGGAGGCCTGGTCCAGTGGCCTCGGGTCATTTGCTTCTTGTAGGATAGTGGTGACACCCCAATGAAATGCTATCATTAAGAGGGGGTCGGGCTGGACGGCGAGCCGTGAGGACTCACGGCCCGGCTGGCGCGCAGAAAGCGCCGCGCTAGGGCTCCAGCTGCGCTCTGGAGCCCATTCGGGCACCGCGCTCTGGCACCAGGGCGGTGTGTTTTCCACGCACGCGGACGCGGTTCCCAGCCCCGCCCCGCTGCCCCACCCGAGAAGGTCCTCGTCTGAGCGCTCACAGCTCTCCCTGTCCTGCCTGCCTGTCGCCGCGGCTCCGTGTGTCTGTGCCTCATCTCCCGGGTGCGAGTGTGCGAGTGGAGTGTGCAGGCACGGAAACTGGACTTCCGTTCTGCGGAATGAGCTCCCGAGCTTTCATCCAGAGGAGAACCGCATGTGTAAAAAAAAAAAAAAAAGACTACATTTTAATAGATTGCAAATTGAAAATAAATCATTTACAAATATAAATGAATATAACACTAAAAATTGTCCAAAATAAAAATGAAGAATTTACAGATCAGTTATAATAGTTCACTGTGTCAAAATCAGGAAACTTATATTTATATAAATAGAATTCTCAAAATAGAAAGGAGTAAGCAATAAATATTTAAAGATTTAAAATTTCTGAATTTAGTTCAACTTATAATACCGCATTTCTAAGAAAACTGAACCTTTTTGCATAAGAAATTTAAATAAAGCCATACCAAGATATAAAAAATGAAATTGCTCAAAACTTATTGTAAAGAAAAAAATCATTAATGCATATACATAAAAAATATTAGCTATGGAAGAAGAAAATTAAATAGCATATTATTCCACGTTAGAAAGAAAAAAGGACCAAGTGTGTAGAAAAACTAGACTAATTAAAGGAATAAAAGAAAAAAAAATCTGTCCTCTTTGAATTTTATACTTAGCAAACATACCTTTGAAAACTAAAAGTAAGATTTTCTAGTTATACAAACTTGAAACAGTTTAATACCTCCAGAAGTAGCATATAGGAAATA